CACTGGCAGCTCTATTTTGTCATAGTTAATTGTGATAAAGATTTATGTGTATTGTACTTTACCATTGAAATTTCTCCATTAATATTCAGGTGACGAGAACCCATTGCTTGCAATGCCGTAGCAAAAATTTTGAAATTTTGAAACAGTGCGGTACAGTATCAGAGGGGACCAACTTTACGTGTAAATTTGAATAATGTAGACCCATTTTTTTTTTCTTTTTAAGTTTTACGCAAAAATTATAATCTGGACCCGTTTTCTTAAAACTTTGCCCTTTCAGGCTAGATATATTTAATGGATTCTGTTTTCATGAAATTTAAACATTCGAAACTTCCATTGTATGAGATCACCATAGCCATATAATTATATGGAGTCATCATCACACAAATCTGTCATGTAAAATTTTGATATATGGACTGAGCATTATACAGTCATCAGTTAATATTTTAAATGTAAAGAACCACGGGTTAATTCTATTGTATACAGTACGGTATATGTTGAATAGACCTTGTATCTCATGAATAATCATAATACGAACATGCGTACGGTATATATTAAAATCATAATGATTCCCCGAAGACCATTCGCAATGAGTGATGATTTTTGTGTCTCTCGGCGGCAAAGATACTATGTTGTCGTCTGGCAGTTAAAGATGGCTGAAAGGGTAAATCGGGCGAAAGTGCATGACGGGTCATGTGTCATCTTAATTATCTTATTACTGTACAAAGTCATAAAAAAATACAACACCATACATTTCCTGATATCCGAATCCCATGTGGATACTTTATTAGTAAACATAAAGGCAGTAGGGCGTAGACACACGCGCCCCCTAGATGCCTATTATAGTAACGAAATAATCTTCAGTCGCAGCCTCTGAAACTTATTCATATACAGTGTACTGTATTATATTTTATGTGTGACTGTTGCTTCGGAATTGTGTACAATTAAAAACCATTCCTCCCCACCTTCCCCCTCCTTGTGCACAGTTTTTAAAGGTCTGCGTCCTTTGTGTGCTTATAGACACACACTATTTTTCATTATAAACTACAAACTATGAAGTTACCACCCGCGTATACTCTAATGTGGGCTATTTTAAAACAAATTTGTAGCTAGGGTTAAGCATACTGTTATCCAAGGTCAATCGATAAACCTTTTGTGTGTATTACACATTCCTGATGATGACATAATTAATGTCGAAATATTAAATCCCAACACGATGGCGTGCATTTCGATACTTGGAGCATGGAGCTTGGAGTATGTATTGTACTATCTTATCTGAGATTAATCAGTGGACCTTTCGGTTTTTGTGTGTATGCATGGAGGAATTAGTTTAGTGTCGATTGGTATGGCCATGCGCAGTTCATACTACTAATATGCATATTACGGAAGGATTCAAGCATCAACTTGTTAGGGATCGGAGCCACAGCAGGAAGCTACCGTAGAAATGTTCACTGAACACCATAAGTCCATAATACGTATTCATAGAAATTGAAATCGCGAAACAGTGATGGTTTTAATTTATCCATTCGACCATAGTAATTTTAAATCAGGAATGGTTTGGGAATTTCTGCACAATAGGAGGTACAATATTATGATACGGTATTTCGTGCAAGAATTATCGTCATTATATTACAGAACTAAATGTTTTACATATACTATATTTCGAATGAAACGCAGTGGCAGATTCAAAAAGCAGGGAAGGGTTTCCACATTTTTTAAAATTATTGGATGATGAGGCTGTCTCTTATACACATCTAGATGTGTATAAGAGACAGACAATAAAACATACAGTAACTTGAAAAAATGAAACACTTGAAACATGAAATATAAAATATAGTGACATAAAAACAGGGCCTGGGGATTGCTTGAAAAGCGAACTAAATCACGGTCTTAAAAAGAGCGCTGCAGAAGGACAATCACACGAACAATTAAAAAAAATTCTAATTAAGAACCAATTTAGACACTTTGGGAATCAATTATTTTTTTTTATAAAGCTTGCAAATTTATTTTATTTTATGTGTGCATTACATCTACTAGTTAGTACTATCAGGCCACTAATTTTTATGTGGGTCATTTCGTGTAAAAATAAACCTCATTGGATTTTGATTAGTTGGTTACAAACAAATTGATGACAGCAAAATGTTGCCTCGATTTAACGCTGTTCTATTGATCAGCCTCCCAAAATAAAGAGTACAGTATAGTATTGATGTAAATTTAGTGTTTCTTCCGAATCATAGATTTTCACCATATTCCAAAGGTTGTAACACATTCCACATCGCGTGACGGATGTACAAAAACTGTACGTCTTCCACATGGTTTGCTAATTAGTAGCCTATAATTAATGCTAGGCCTCTAATTTGCTGTACACTGCCCTCCCCGCCCCACCCCCCGTTTTGCCACTAAATTTTAAAAATTTCAATGCATATTAATGTTATGTGCTACATTTCTATTCTAAAAATGTTGCGCTCCCCTCCCACGTTTGAAATATTCTGGATCCGCCCTTGGTGCTTAACAGAGTTTTGGTCATTCCTTTGTACCTGGTTAGAAGAAAGAAGCGACAAACAAAGTCATAGGTCTATTTTATGGTGGACGTACATCCATATATTCATTATCTTGACGTAATATCTAATTAAAAATAAGCATTAATTAAGAAAAATCAAAAATATTTCACCAAATCACAAGATATACACACCAATACTTTTTTTTGAAAGGTTAATCGGTTTCTGATACTTTGCCAGGGGAAAATTTGAAAACCAATATTATGAACTATATTTTCCTTCATATTTCCAAATATTAATTTGAATTTCTTGTTATTAATTCCAATTATTTTTCAAATGTTTAGAGCAATCTTTATTTCTTTTTTTTTTTCACAAAAATGTTAACTTATTAGCTTCAAAATAATGTATTACAAATACACATTTGATGTAGGCCTAATTTAATAATTTTGTACCATTTGATTTATTAATTTACGGAATTGCCCTAATATAGCCATGGTGGAATTTAATTCCTCCATGATATAACTTTGAATGACTCACATATAACAGAACAAGGTTGTCAACTCTTTCAGTAAGTTAAAGTTCGAAAAAAACAAATGAATACCACACGTTTTACTACAAAAATACTTTTCTCTCAGAAATACGCCTATATGGGTTATTGGAAAACATTGACTCATTTAATTAACGAGATAAACCTCGTTATATTTCTTTCATCTGAAAGCCAAACACATATAGGCCTAATAAATAATACTAAAACTTTCAAGTTGTCATACTTGAAGATACATACTTGAAAATGTTTTGGTAGTATTATTGAACATATGAGTGACGAACGCAATATGCAAACACATTAAACCAATGTAAATCGGGAGTGTGGCGGGGGGATGTGTTATCGGGTTGTCGTCGTTTATGAGGATGGGAATGTGTCTTTGTGTGTTTATTAGGCCGATATTTAAAGTGGATACTCTCTTAAAGTCCAATTAAAATGATGCTTTTTAAGTTGCTGATTGTTAAAGTATTACATATGTTTAACAAATGAGTGGTCGTCAGCGTACGATTGTTAATATATTAGTAATAATATAGGCCTACATTGTTTAAGTATAAATTAGCTTACAGTCTGTATATTAAAGCTTATTTTGCAAATTTTTTACATTACAATGTAGCGTACGAAGCTGAAATTTGATGTATTGTACACGGCCTAGGCCTACGCCTTCGATGATGATAGTAAACAAAGCCGATTCGGCGATCATCATCACTCACATTGTAAATTGCCTGGTTGGGTTTTTTTTTATGTTATCGTCTACAATAAAAAGCTATTATTTTTGTTGTTGTTATGTTGATATACAAACTGTGTGATACTCACTAATAATACGCAGGCCTCGAAATTGGTACGAAAGGACCATGGCAAAAATTGCCGACGTATATTTGACATTCCTAATCAGTTTTTGTATTTTGAGTTTTCAGCAGGTCAGACAGTATATGATTGTACCCATAAATTCGTGGTTTACGAAAAAATAATCTTTCCAAAATTGTAAGTGTATTTGTAAAAACAATTTCTATTCTTTTAAAAGCCATTGCACGATCGAATCGGACAGCAAATAAGCTCACATGGGGAATACCCGAATTAGTTTGCACTGAACCACGAAGCAGGATTGACTTTTGTGTTTATGTATAATTTTACTGTTTTATTAATAAAAGTAATTTAACTTGGTACATTAGTATGTATTTCAATCATTAACAATTATTAAATCATTGTGTTAACTTTTCAAATATAAGTGATGAGCTAGAAATATTTGTACTCTTTTCACTCGACTCGCGTCATTTTTGACGACGACGTTGTACTGTGTATGAGGCCTACGTCAAAAACATGCAGCAATTCCCTCCTAAAACTAGCATTCATTTATCACGAAAATCAAAACAGCATTTAGGCTTAAGCCTGTATTTTATTGTAGGATAAATTATCACAACAAAACAAATACAATTTTTATTTCACTCATAAAACCTCCAAACACCGTTAAATCGGGTCGAGTCAGCCCCAATCGAGCGTCGGCGAAGAACTTAAGACCACGTTGTAGAGAACAAGTGATCCGTCCAGGGGTGGCGCCAGTGGGGGAGATGTGGCGCCGATGTTTATTATATAATTCTTTATTGTTTTATGACATTTTAAAAGTAACTAGAATATGTCATTTTAGATGGACGTATTTATTGCTTGCAGGAATGAGGTAAACCATCTACTGCATTGCCTGATAACGTTGCTTTTCTGGCCCTGGATTATCGTCTGGATCATTTTGGTAGGTAGAGACCTAGGCAGGCCTATTGTTGACGACGACGACGATGATAATGATATAGTCATGATAATGGTGATGACGATGGTGATAACTGTGATTGTGATGAGGTGACTGTGTTGAGTATGATGAGGATGATCTGGTGAAGCTGATGATGATGATAATAATATTAGTGGTATTAATGATGTGGAAAAACATGATGATGATGATAAAGATGATGATGATGGGGGTGATGATAAAATGTTGATGAGGAGATGAAAACAGTGTTGATTAGGAGAAAGATAATAAGATGATAATGACAATGTTGGATATAGTAGGTGATGATAAATATGATGATTACCATTGCTATTTTCATTATTATTATTATTATTATTATTATTATTATTATTATTATTATTACTATTACTATTACTATTATTATTATCATTATCATTAACTATTTCATTGTTGCTGTTATAATTATGATAATAATTATCTCATATTTTAATTAATATTTACTATGATAAAATTTATCATATTTAATATGATGATGACAATTGTTATTTTCATTATTATTATTATTTTTATTATTATTATTATTTTTATTATTATTATTATTATTTTTATTATTTTTATTATTGTGTTATTGTTATATTATTATTATTAATATTATTGCTGTTAATCTATTAAAATTGTTATTGTTTATATTATTAATGTTTTTATAATTCTTAATATGTTAATTATCATATAGGCGTACACTTATTGTTTTGTATAACTATATTTGTTTGCTTTGTAGTGCATAACCGAAGGCTCATAAGCAATCCGTATGAAGGTCGCCAAGATAATGTGTCACCGAACTTCGTATTAATCCAATTGTGATCGGTAATTAGAAGCAATGTAACCCGTCTCCCACTCATATACACCGAACTGCCTCCCCCTCCCCCAATAACATGTATGCTTGTTATTATCATGAGGCCATATTAAGACAGCACCATGGTATTACACAAACAGTTACACGCAGAGACCAACATAACAGAAGGCCTACAGTACTTTCATATGGCTATAAATACATCACCTTTTGCCTTTATACGATAAGACAAATCCTTAGCGTATAGTGGCCTGAATTAGTTCGGTTTTTAGTTTTGCACTTGCTTGCTTTAATGTTTTGCTTTATATACAGACTAGCTGCTTAGTATAAATTCAGTAAGACAGGCCATTATTCAGTTCATTCATTATTCGTAGCGGAAGGTCAGTCGGCATTGGTATATTTATTTTTTTTTAGAAGGAAATGGGGAAGGGATAATAGTGCAATGATGCATTAAGCTAGTTTGGTTAGAATGTGTATTGAACATAGGGCACATTCTCCAATTGGCCCCACCCCTCATTCTAATTCATCAGTCACTGTTGATGTATTTTCACTCCATTGTTGAAGAGATTAAAACCAAAGATACTAGAAATACAAGATAGAGTTCTCGCATTGTAAAAATGAGGCGGAAGTCGTGCCCAACGTAGGCGGCGCCCTTCTTTATAACCATGCAAGTTTCCTATACTTCGTGCCCAACGTACAGGGCGCCCTTCTGTTGCTAAGTATATCCAGACGCAAAAGGCGCTCTTCCTTTTCCACTAATGGAGGAAAACTTTTTCACTAAGAGTGCGTCCGGCCATGCGATTCTGCGCTGTATTGTTGTTTTATTCTTTACTGATTCATGATTTTACTTTAATTGTTTTGTGTATTATTTGGATAATAGCAACGATTTCTACCGCCACCAAGGTTATGAAGGTTATGTATTCACCGATGTCACTGTCTGGGTGTCTATTCCAGTTTGTTTTTATATTTAGTATCTTTGTTGAGAGTTGATAATAAAATACGCGACGACTTGGTAACGAAAGTTTGGCACAAGTTTTTTTAGATCCAGCTGTAGGGGGCGTCCCATTTTCGTATTCCCACCATGCATTTCGGTGGAACACTTTTTTTGTGTGGAGAACTCTATCTTGTATTTATAGTATCTTTGTTAAAACTGGTAAAATCATCATTTTCAACTATTTGCATTATTTTGTAGTGTCGGGCTGCGTCGTACGACACTGTCTGATTTGGCCATAGTGTACTGACCTACTAGTACTCGATATGTACAAACAGAACATGACATAGAATGTTCAGATTTTTTGTTTTATATGAAATTAATTTACATTTACTGTAGGCGTTGTTTAGTTGTTAGCTTGATCATTCTGAATCTCAAATTGTCAAAATATATGTTTGAAACTTCATTTTTCTTCTTATTCATTGTGACAGATATATATATATATATATATATATATAT